ATGTAGTTACAGGAAGCGGAATTTCTTGTTTTTTTTCTAGGAACAGGCCAAAATCAATGCGCGCGCGGACGTCATCCATAAAATTTACTTGGTGTGGCCTTATAAAAATATAAGTGAATTTTTATTTCAGTTGTAGCCGAAAAAATTTTTTCATGCGTTTAAAGTTTCGTTTTAGCACCTTGTAATATGTACTTAGTACATGTATCTTGTACATTTGGATGCTATCTTGACCTTTGACCACTGTTATTGTGAAACACCGTCGGCCATTTTGTCAGTCTCGCCGTAGATTTTTGAGCCGTTTTTTCGAGCAAATTTCAACGGTTTTAAACATTTTACGGCCTCAAAAACTCATATAACGAGGAAAGCAAGTTGTAGTTGTTATTTTCATGTGTAACATTTCTTCTGGGGATGGTTTATTTTTCCGCCGAGCTACCGAAAACTAGCGTCATGCCGCGACCATGCGGTCGGGTGCGGGCGGCCGGCGGGAGTATCGGTGAGCTTTCACGATGTAAACAAAGACATTCGGAGTTGTTCACATGAAAATTTTGCTGTGAAACGCCAGCGGGGTGTCAGATTTTCTACCAATGACAACGTTTTCTTTGCGGCGTCATGGCGAGATCGACAATTCATCGTCAATTCACAAGATTATGCCGACAATGGAATGAATAGGCTAAAATTTTTATTGGCGCACCGTGCGACCGTGATTTCAAATGTAGTCGCACCGTCAAAATTTTGGGCGCATATGCGACCAAATCAGTCGCAGTCACGAGCCCTGAACACTACAGTGTTGTCAGTTACCTTCTATGTTTTTTCCTGCAATTTTGTATGTGTCCCCTGTGTTTTGCCATGTGTTTTTGGTTTTTTAAGTTTTTTTTTTATTGTCCTGCAAGAAAGTTGTGTATTTGTCTTCCTGTGTTCTTCCATTTGTCTCTGTTTTTTCTGTTGTTTCTGCCTTGTTTGTTGTCAATCTCTGTTTATCTCTTTACTCTTCACCCACGTTTCCACCGTGCAGAAGTTCTTTTCACGTGGGGAGAAAGAAAAGGTATCATCTCTGACAAAACTTTAAGTCTTTTAGTTTTAGCCTGGTTTATAAAACATGCCTTTCTTAAAACTTGCACATGTCTGTTTCATTATATATCAATCATTCTGTCTTCCTTGGCTGCATAAATGCAAACTGTCAAAATGAATGTTCCAGGCAGGAACCGTTTGTCAGGAATGTAGCATTTTCCAGCAAGGTTTCATAATTCTTTGTCTTCAAGCTGGTAGCAAGGTGTGGATGTGTTGTAATGTTTTGATGTTCTGTTATAATGTTTCCATGTTTTGTTGTAAAGTTCCTATGTTGTTGTAGTTGTTTCTATGTTGTGTTGTAACCCTCCAGTGTGGGTTTGTGTTTTACCAGGATGTTCAGCACCTCGGCCCTGCCACAGATTTCTACAAGCGGATGGCTCTGGAGTGTGCCGGTCAGCAGATCGCTGTGGACATGTTCTTCCTGCCTGGACAGTACACGGACATCGCTACTCTGTGTGAGTATGGCTGGGGTTAGGGTTAGGGTTGGGGTTGGGGTTGGGGTTAGGGTTAGGTTAGGGTTCAGCAGATCGCTGTGGACATGTTCTTCCTGCCTGGACAGTACACCGACATCGCTACTCCGTGTGAGTAGAACATAACATCCATAGCACTTCTATAGAACATATTTTTAAGGATGATAGTTGCCCTGTTGAGTCGGGAAAGATATTCTTTGCAGCAGACAAAATTGTAATGCAATGTTGACCAAACATCCAACAGAAACTGTGGTTTACATCCTTTCATGTATCTGATGATAAGTTTTGAAGCAGATTAAACTGTAATTTCTACTACAAATTGCAATTTGGACTAACAACTGTAATTTGGACTAACCGAAATTTTTGACTGTACTCCAGTCTTTGTCAATGAATGAGCAATCCACCACTTCTGTGACGTCACGTTATGCAGATAACACACGTGACTCCGTGAGCAGTGGAATTCTTTGCTGCCCCCCGTCTTTGCTAAGGGGAGGTTGTAGTGTACTGATGAAATTTTATTTTTTTACAGCTGGTGTGGCGAAATACTCCGGCGGCTGCACGTTCTACTTCCCAGGGTTCCACCCGGCCCGCGCCCCGGCCCAGGTCACTCGGTTCGAGCGTGACCTGCGGAGATACCTCACCCGCAAGATCGGATTCGAGGCTGTCATGAGGATACGATGCACAAGAGGTTGGTTTGTCTGTTTGTTTTAATTGATGTTGATGAATTGACACAAAAACATGAGAAAAGGTAAAGGTAATCCCATAGCTTTTTTCAAGCCTTAGGGGCAGTAGGTTGTCAATCCAATGATTCAATGCACAAGATTTATGGTTTATTTTAATTTGCACACAAAAAAAAAGGTAGTCTCATAGCCTTTTTTTACACATATCCACCTACAGTTTCTGTATCAGAATCTGTATCTGTATAGCCGGTATAACTGCCCTTCTGCATAACACACCAGTTTGTCACTATATGTGAGCTTGTGATCATGTACAGCTTATGTGTCCTTGTTGTCCAGATGTCTTTCCTTCATATAAGAAAACTGATATTTAACAAAATCCCATTCCCTCCCGCCAAGGACTGAGCATCCACACATTCCACGGGAACTTCTTCGTGCGCTCGACGGACCTCCTCTCTCTGCCCAACGTGAACCCGGACGCCGGCTTCGCCATGCAGGTCTCTATCGAGGAAGCCCTGGTGGATTCCAGCACCGCATGCTTCCAGGCAGCCCTGCTCTACACCAGCAGCAAAGGTGCAGGGTTCGAATCCCGTCTGTGTGAGTGAGTGTGTGTGTGAGTGTGTGTGTGAGTGTGGATCGAGGAAGCCCTGGCCTGGTGGATTCCAGCACGGCATGCTTCCAGGCTGCCCTGCTCTACACCAGCAGCAAAGGTTAGGGGTTCAAATCCTGTGTGTGTGTGTGTGTGTGTGTGTGTGTGTGTGTGTGTGTGTGTGTGTGTGTGTGTGTGTGTGTGTGTGCGTGCACATGTGTGTGTGTGTGTGTGAGTGTGGATCGAGGAAGCCCTGGCCTGGTGGATTCCAGCACGGCGTGCTTCCAGGCTGCCCTGCTCTACACCAGCAGCAAAGGTGCAGGGTTCGAATTCGTGTTTGTGTTTGCATGCGTGCGTGTAAGCACATGTGAACAAGCAATGGTTGACAGTAGGTTAGTAAGGGTGGTCACCCTACATGTTAATGTGTTTGTGTAAGAATAAACAGAGCAGTACTTTGGTAAGCTAAATCATGTGAAGGTAAGCATTATTTGTTGCATTGCAGATTTTTCATTTCTAATGTTACCCTGTTTATATCCAGGAGAGCGGAGGATCCGTGTCCACACCATGGCCCTGCCTGTCAGCAGTAACATCACCGTTGATCTAGACTGTGTGAAGGTTACCTGAGTTTCCCCTAACTTAAGTTCCTAATGTGTTTCTTTGTGTGTGTTCAGGAGAGCGTCGGATCCGTGTGCACACCATGGCTCTGCCTGTCAGCAGTAACATCACAGAGATCTACACAGGCGCCGACCAACAGGCAGTCATCTGTCTACTCTCACGCATGGGTGAGGGTTATACTTTGTCGAATATAGTAATTAATAATTTGTTAGCTAGAGGTTTTAACTTCTGTCTCTTTTCATATATCAATGAGCTAAAGGATAAAACTTCCCTCTGTCTTCATATATCAGTTAGGTAGACTATTCTAGAATTAAAAGACAAAATAACAATGTATGAGAGCAGCCAAGGTTTCAAAGAGCATTGTAATTTCTGTATGCGAGCTTTCTGCAATTCAGGGAGTTTTATCTCTGCTGTAAGGTTTGTTTTTGGTGTCATGAATAAATAGATAAAACACTAGTCTAATAGAATGAGTCAAACACCAAATGTTTATTATAATGTTGGAAATGTTAATTATCGAATGAGTCAAACACCAAATGTTTATTATAATGTTGGAAATGTTAATTATCCAGCATTGTGTACTTTAAACTGACTTTTTTATCGTTTATAGCGGTTGACCGTTCCATCATGTCGTCTATCCGTGACGCGAGGGAAGCGGTGATCAACGCCTGCATTGACTGCCTGGCGCAGTACCGCAGCAGCGTATCCGGGCAGCAGCTCGGGGCTCTCATGGCACCGTGGTCACTCCGACTCTTCCCCATGTACACCCTCGCACTGCTCAAACATGTAAGTAACACCCCCCCATGAACACCCTCGCACTGCTCAAACATGTAAGTACACCCCCCCATGTACACCCTCGCACTGCTCAAACATGTAAGTAACCTCCCCCATGTACACCCTCGCACTGCTCAAACATGTAAGTACCACCCCCCCATGTACACCCTCGCACTGCCTGTATCCGGGCAGCAGCTGGGGGCTCTCATGGCACCATGGTCGCTCCGACTCTTCCCCATGTACACCCTTGCACTGCTCAAACATGTAAGTAACCCCCTCACACACCCTCGCACTGCTTAAACATAGGCCTTTCTGGGTTACGTTTAAATGAATGGTTCAATATACATCAATCTGCCAGTCCCTATTGGTCCACCCTGTGGTCTATGACCTGGACCAGATGGTTGTCACCATGGTAACTGGTGCTGTAGCAGACACATTGCGGTGCTGAATTACATTATGTAGTGGCAGGACAGTTGGAGGAGCTGGTCACCCAGAATAAACTGAGCAGTAGCTAAAATGTAGGGCTATACTTTGTGAAGAGAAACATGAGATATTTACTTCATAAATGTTACCTTTCTCTAGAGTTAATACCGATGTTACAAAAAAATGTCTTTTTCCCTTCCAGCCTGCGTTTCGGCTTGGGACGAGCACGCGGCTTGACGACCGAGTGAACACCATGAACCAGCTGAAGGCTCTGCCGCTGGCCTATAACATCATGGCTCTCCACCCGCACATGTACGCCGTGCACAACCTGAACGATGAGGTAAACACTTTCACTTTCCTGTAAACACTTTCACTCACCTGGCCTACAACATCATGGCCCTCCACCCGCACATGTACGCTGTGCACAACCTGAACGATGAGGTTAACACTTAAACAACTTTCTATGGGATGTTCATATGATCTTGCAAGTATATATCTGACTGCAGGAGTTGTTTAAAGCTTTCTAGTTTTGATGCCCCAACTGTGCTTGGTGGCAGCGAGTTCCAGTCTACGATAGTTCTTGGAAAATACGAGTTTTTTGACACCTGACTGATTTGTCCATGTTACTCCCAGGGAGCGTTGACCATCCGTGACCAGATCATCCCCCAGCCTCCGATCCTGTCTCTGTCCTCCGAGAGGCTCAGCAGAGACGGAGCGTTCCTATTGGACAATGGAGAGGGCATGTACATGTTCGTGGGCCGCGCCATCTCCCCACAGTTCTGCACAGACGTGCTCGGAGTCGAGAGTTTTGCTGCTATTCCTGATGTTATGGTGAGAAAAACAACATTTTATTTGATGTATTTGATATTAACTCTCTTTATTCCTTTTTTTTATGTGCCAAATACATGTAGAGTAAGCAATAAACATCTATAATACTACTGTTAGAGATGCTTTTAGCTCCTCAGACCTTTGAAGAGATTTTTCACAGTTGTCATGAAAATGCTTGAGCTTGCTCTTGATTATGGTACAATGGTACCTACTATCTTGCTTACTCTTTACTTGTCAAAGACGTTATTTCATGACCTGAACCCTGACATTAAAGTGTAAACTCTTACTCCATGATAACAGTTTTCAACCAAATTTTTCTTCAGTATCCTTTTTCATGCTGGATCCAGAATCCTATCCTGGATTTTGTGATGTGTTTTCACACTTCGTTTTCGCGTCTCTCCCCAGTTTGAGCTGATTTTCTCTGGTGATTTTTTTCCATGATAGGACATGTTTTTGTCAGAACCCTAACCTGGATTTTGTGACAAGTTTTCACACTTCCTTGTCGTGTTTCTCCCCAGTTTGAGCTGCCAGAGTTGGAGAACGCCGACTCGGAGCGAGTCCGGAGTTTTGTCGGCTGGCTCAGAGAACAGAGACCTTTCTTCCCTCCCCTTCAAATCATCAGGTATGGCCGAAGGAAAAAAAATTGTGTTTGTTTGCTTGTATCTGTTGGTTTGTTCTTCAATATCTTGCAATCTTCCAAACTGAACTGAACTGAACTGAACTGAACTTGCAAACTGTTGTGGCCTTCTTACATTTTCATGCCTTTTTGTATGAAAAGTTATTCTACAACCATTGGATTTTTACATTCTGATGTTTCGCTGACCGTCTGTCACCTTCAGGCCAATAATGACAGGGTCTGATTCATACTGCAGCTATGTGTCACTGCTGCAATATTACAGTTGTGGTCCCAAACATCACATAATACACATATATTGTCATGCACAATGAAGTTGAAAACCCACTGGTTATTCAATGAGTCCTCTTTCACAGTCACTTGCCAACCAAATAATAATTATTCACCGATGCCTGTTTTTCTGTTTTTCCCCCTAGAGAGGACAGCAGACAGAGGATGGTGTTCCTGCAGCACCTGGTAGAAGACAGGTCTGAGTCCATGTTTTCCTACTACGAGTTTCTGCAACACATACAGAAGGAGGCCTGCAAGTAGCAGCACCCTCTACATCTCACAGCAGGAACTGCAGGGCCGACCGCCGCAGCAGTCTCAGTTTTATTGCAAAGTTCTAACGTAATAATTAAAATATGCTTCATGTAAATTTTGCTTTAGTTAATTCAACAAATTTTTGAACAATGTTATAATTAATAGATATGAGGCAATCTGTATGATAATTTTGCAAAATATGCAGCCAGTCTTATTAAACTCCTGTAAAATATGAATTTGTCCTGTTGGATACATGTACAATGTATGTCATTGTTAATGTGGGGAGGGGGGGCCTATGCCTTGTACGGTGGGGAAAAAAGTGCAGCATGCCTTATTATAAAGCTGTTTGCTTCAGAACTTTCTAGGTTTAGGCAGACAAAGTTTTCTCAAACACGTAATTCCGGACCATGTTCGTTCTTAGAACTGGACAGCCAATAGCAGCGCAGAATGGCTTGTAATGTTGCCATGGTAACAGGCAATTTAAGGGATTTTAGGTGGCAAACTGTACCTACCATAGGAGAAATAAGTTCAACATGTAAATTTGTTTGTAACGGCACCTATTCCCTGTAACCATATGTTTCTATGCTGTCGAGTGGATAACATAAATGCATACAATTACTGGTATCCCATTTATAATGGGGTGGTTTTAATGTCCACCATGCAATAGCACTTGGAATTTAAGTTACAGAAATGTAGGAAATGCATATTGAAGCCCAATGATAGCTTTCCTCTTATATATATATACAGTATTTGTGTTTCCTATTCCCATGTTTTGGTTTTTCACATTATTGAAAATGTGAAGAAGAAGAAACACACTAAACCAACAGTTGATGTGTCATGTTAATAGTTGTAGGCCCACGAAAAAAAATGTCGTGTTTCCTGTTTCCTGACAGACCCTAGAAAAATCTGCTAACCCTAGCCCTTTTTGTGTGTGAACCCCTGCAAGGGACATAAATGTTTCGAGCTGATCAACCTTTTCTTGTTCCATGGTCTGACACCTGAGTGATGAAATATTCTACAATTCGTGTTCCAACATTGACATAAAAAATGAAAGTGTCATGGAAGTTTTACTTTGGAACACTAGAGATCTCCAAAGTCTTTTAAAAAAAAGGAAAGAAAAAATAATCCCTAGCTACCAACCCTAATTTTTCTTAGGAATGAAACAGGAAACACAACATTTTTTTCCTAGGCCTAGTACATTATAGGCCACTGTAACTCAATTCGGTGGATAACAGTGTTCTGCTAACCCTATTTTGGCACCAGTGTGCAAAAGAAAACAAATATGTGTTTAATTAGCATTGAAACAAGACACTGAAGTACACTGTGTTGAAAAGAACGTGAGATAGCAAAACTGTAAAAAGAATTGGGCAGGCGGAAATATGACATGACACTTTATAATTCTTGTACTTGGAAAAACGTGAAAAGGATGAAAGAAAAATAAAGGGTTTTACAGGCTATGGACCAGTGGTCTTCTTTCTTTTTTTCTTTCAAACTCTCTGTGTTCTATCAGTTTCAAGTCATTCACATGCCTGCGAAGCTGGTGTGTTATGCCGAAGAGCAGTTTTACCAGCTATATTGATACAGATACAGAGTTTGTAGTAATCTCCAAGCAAATCTTTTGATTGGAAAAAGTACCAATAATCTCCAAGCAGATCATTCGGTGGGTGCAAGATAGTATCAAATTGGCCAGGCAGCATCCATTTGCCAGACCAATAAAAATTCATGAGCTGCTGCCTGGCATATACATGTACTTGATAACTGGTTTAGGTCAGTTTCACCTGATTCCTTTTGCAGGCTGAATAAATCGTAGAAATCGCCTAAAAAGGGGATAGAATTGCCCAATTGAACCCTCTATGGCCGGGAAACTCCTCTGGCCAATTATATCCCCTTTTTAGGTGATTTGTACGATTTATTCTTAGCCTGCAAAAGGAGTCTGGTGGAGACTACCAGGCTCCTGACCGTGCAGGTGCGCCGCCTGTCAACTTGTTCCGGTACTGCACCGCGATGGCGGCAGACGCACGCGATGACGTCTACACAGGTTCTTCGCGGGGGGCGGGCGAGCATGACGTCACCACATGTTGTGGACGTGTATTTTCCAGGGTTGCCGTATAATTTTCCATTTCCTTCTCATTTCGATTAAATTTAGGCCGATCAGTAGAGTTTTTCCCGCCCGATCGGCCCGGAAACCTGGAGAGAAGGTTTTTCTGTTGGAGTAGAGTTTGAAATCGGACGGTTTGGAGGCGAATCAGTCAAACAAAACGGCGCGAAACCGACGGACGGAAAGGTAGGTCATCCCCGATCTTCGGTTTTCCATTTTTGAGGCAGATTCGTGGAAATCATGAGTCATCAAGGGGGGGTACAGGGGGAGGGGGTTGGTTGGAGAAGGGGAGGGGTGTAGGGTTTGGTACAGTATTGGGAATCGGTTAGGATTAATATTGGGGGAGGGGGTATATATACTGATACGTACAGAGCCGGCAGATACGGGCATCAATGGGAGGGGGGGGCGATACGGATTGGTTGATATGATTATGACCGTGTCATAATAATTTTTGCGAACCCCTCCAGCTAGCACCTCATCTGGACTGAGTTCAGGCGGTTTGGATTGTAGAAACACAAACGTAAACAGGCACAGAGCCTTACTAAGTAGATGTTCTGTATGGATACACTGAGCTATAAAAAAGGTGAACTCAACTAATCATGTGTCTAGCCTCCACCAGGCCTTTCTACGGGAATACGGATTGTAGAATTCAGCAAAAAAGAGAGTAAAATTGGCCAGGGGAGTCCGGCCGCGGGGAGGTACATGTAGTTTCTTTCCCTCTGCGGCCAGTCAAACCTTCAAGGCGGCCAAACTCCCCTGGCAAATATTCTCCTGTATGTAGCCAGCGTAGTTAGTCTGGTAGAGACTATCATCTGTCCGTACAGCTGACCTCTCGGTACACTTAACACGTACAGAATCATGTCCAACTCATACCAGGTTTGCCCCAAGCAGATGTGATGAAGAGCGAACATGCATATAATAGAACCCTGCATGTGTGTGATGGAATAGCTGCATAGTGCATTTAATATATGTAAAGCCATACTGGTCACAGGTGTATGATGGAAAAGTCCCATGGGAAAAGTGCATCCAGGTTATATCATATCAGGGTAGATATGGGCGCTGTCTCATTTTATGGTAGGTTGAAAGCCTAAAAAGGGGTTTGGGGCTACAACATGTAACTGTTGCAAGAGGAAGGAGGAGGGTGGGGAGGGGGTTTCAGGGAACTCTTGTGTGAAGTAGGCTGTGGTTTCAGTCCATTTGATTCAGTTTGGCTCAGAAATATCGCTTTTTGTTATACATGTAGTTTTTTTTACAGTAAAACAGGCATAGTTTCTGCGGTACACAGATCTGCACTGTGTATGTACACATGATCGATCCTCACTTTCTAGTTGACAAAAACATCTAAATCTAGTATAAACATCTACTACATGTATCAGCCTGCAGGATATGAAAGTGAAATCAAAAGTGCAAGTGATTGCTTCCCACCTGGTAATTTATCTGAACAGGTTTTACTTTTACGTGCTGACCAGCAGCCTGAAATGTGAAAATGAAAGTAAATCTGTGAGCAGGTCCAGGAAGGGTGGGGTCTGTCCTTAGTGCTGAAGTGCTGTCTTGTCTCCCTGATGTTTATCTCAGCAGAGATTTTTGTTTGAGCAAAGACTGATCGATGATTTATTGATTAAATTCTAAATTGTGATGCTGACAATTTGTCCCCAGGGAGGTTGTTTATGAGAAAAAAATAAACCATTCTACTGCTAGATTTTTAAGAAAGATAATAAATTTCAAACTGGTCAAATTCCCTCTCAGTCTCCATGCTATCATTTTCCCAAAGTTATGAATGAAACCATTTTACTACTACTACTGCTGCTACTATTAGTACTACTATATAGCTACTATTAATGCTACCAAATGATTAATTAAATGATTGATTGATTGATTGATTGATTGATTAAATGATTGATTGATTGACATTTCTGCCCCCCTCCCGCAGCCCTGCATGCACAGATCTCCGACATGGTTCTACAAGAGTTTTGAGGTGGAGTTTGACCTGAGACTTGCCTTCAGTCAGGCCTTCTGTGATGCTATAGACCTGACACACCTGGCACAACACTTCAGGTGAGTTAAGCACCTGGCACAACACTTCAGGTGAGTCACACACCTGGTCACACACCTGACACAACATTTCAGGTGAGTCACGAGTGTAACTTATGTCCCCACACACACTCTCTCTATATCCATTCTAACGTCTTTTTTCCCCCTGAAACTGGGGGTTAGACGTGCTTGTATTAAGTGCAAGTCTTTCTTGAAGCAAGATTTTTTTTACGGCTGGATGCCCTTCCTAACGCTGACCTAAACACACACTACACAATCACACTGCCACAGCCACCCCCCCACCCCCCTACACACACACACACACACACAGAGCTAGAGTCTTAGTTACACACAGAGATCCATGATTATAGCCAATTCCCCAGGAATATAACCTGTCATGTTCCTTCCTCCAGGGTGAGGGAGCGCTACCAGAACCTCAAACCCTCCCCCCTGCACACACACATACACACAGTCACACCCTATACACACACACACACACCACTACAGTCCCACACACCCCTGATCCTAACCTGTGCCCCTATATCCCCCCAGGATGAGTAAGCTGGCAGCAAACAGCCAGTTCTACACAGTAGAAGTTGGAGACAGCACCTTTACTGTACTCAAGCGTTACCAGAACCTCAAACCCATCGGATCAGGAGCACAGGGCATCGTATGGTGAGGAACTTGGGGTTTATATGTTTTTAGACTTGCCCCCCTTACAGTCTGTTGTCTGTTAGTTCCCCATGCTAGAGCACCTGTGATTTTTCTATACAACCATCCTCATCAACTCTGTAACTATCCTTGGACCTGGGTATGTAATATGTATCTAGTGCAATACAATACTATGTATTTGCTCAATTGTGAAGGGTTCAGTATTTGCTATATATTTTACAGTAAGGGTTTGACATGCTGAAAATACAAGCTGTCCAGATATGTTTTGCTACCTGCAATCTTCTATGCCATACTGACATGCCACCGATCTTGTGCCCTTGGGAAAGGCACTTTACACGACTTTCTTCACTTAACTCAGGTGAAAATGAGTATTGTATTGTCCCCGTGTTGGTGGCGGCATTAATATAAGTTGAAAAAAACTACCACATCTTGTGATTAGATGTTGGAATATAAAAAAAATGGATTGACTAATTGTTTCTATGTCACTTGTTATTCCAGTGCTGCGTACGACACGTTGACGGGACAGAATGTAGCGATTAAGAAGCTGAGTCGTCCGTTCCAGAACGTCACACATGCCAAGCGCGCCTACCGGGAGTTCGTGCTCATGAAACTAGTCAATCACAAAAATGTACGGTCAATTTCATGTTTACCTTCGCAGAAGAAAAATGTATTGTTTTTGCTCAGTTTCTTCTTCTTCCTCCTCTCAAATTAAGTAAAAGTCAATGACCTGGACCAGAAGCCTCTCACCATGGTAACTGGTGCTGTAGTAGACACCCTGTGGTGTTGGGTTACAAAATTATGTAGCACGTGCCAGGACGGGTTGCTTACCATGTATATGAATGTGTTTGTTGATGAGAAAAAATAGACAGTAGGTTGTTGAGCTAGACATGCCCGCATGTGAAGGTAAACATTATTTGCATTGCAAATGTTAGCATTCTAGTCGTTCTTAAGTCATGTTCTTGCTCCTTATATCAACCAACAAAACTTTTTAGTGGTTAAAATCGTTCTTTTTTTTTCTCCTTCCAGATTATAGGTCTGTTAAATGTCTTCACTCCACAAAAGTCTTTAGAAGAATTTCAAGATGTGTAAGTACCAAGGACTTCAATCTTTGAAAGCCATTAATTTATAATCATTGTGTTACAAAGTTATGGTGTACCTTGTTCCCTAATGTCTAACCTACCATACTGCAATGGATGAAATTCTGATGTGATGTTGATTGAACAAAATCATCTGCAGATGTGCACCATAGACCCTGATGTGCCTGTAATCTCCCATGCTCTCCATTATGTACCCCAGACCCTGACGTGCCTGTAACCTCCCATGCTCCCCCATTATGTACCCCAGACCCTGATGTGCCTGTAACCTCCCATGCGCTCCTATTATGTACCCCAGACCCTGACGTGCCTGTAACCTCCCATGCTCCCCTGCAGGTACCTTGTAATGGAGCTGATGGACGCTAACCTGTGCCAGGTGATTCAGATGGACCTGGACCACGAGCGCATGTCCTACCTCCTGTACCAGATGCTGTGTGGCATCAAGCACTCTCCACTCAGCCGGCATCATCCACAGAGTTAGTATGAACATCTCTACATCTCTCTTACACACTCTCTGTTAGTAACATTTCTGTGTCCTTTTTGTGGTGACAGGACCAGCGTTGCTGGCACAACAGTTAGACTGTTTTTTCCCATATTCAATACTCACCGTAGCCCGACATTGTGCCCTTGGGAAAGGCACTTTACACTACCTGCCTTTCCCTGACTGTGGAGTGACGCCCACTGAGCCTCTTTGGGTAATCTGTCTAAATGTGTGCCAAAAACACACTATGGATTGGGTGCACCAATGAACCATAAAATTATGTATTTTTCAGGACCTGAAACCCAGTAACATCGTGGTGAAGTCGGACTGCACGCTGAAGATCCTGGCAATTTTGCAGCAACTGTTCCTTTAGTCTTTCCTTCCTTTAGTCCCTGTTAATAACATTTCTGTACAATGTTTTAAACATCAGGACCTGAAACCCAGTAACATCGTGGTGAAGTCGGACTGCACGCTGAAGATCCTGGACTTCGGACTGGCGAGAACGGCCGGCACCAGCTTCATGATGACCCCTTACGTCGTGACCCGGTACTACAGGGCACCTGAGGTCATCCTCGGCATGGGGTACACGGAAAACGGTAGGTACCGTCGACAGAGGGGTGGTGAGAGTTAGGTACATGGAAAATGGTCCTATTGGCAGGTACCAAAGGGTGGGTTATTACACCGAAAATGGTAAATACCGAGGGGTAGGGTAGAATGAAGGTACACAGGTTAAATACTGTAACAGTTAGGATTGATCTATTGTACAAAGTATGCCAACTTCTGCACTTTTCAATCCTGACTCTACAGTAAGAATGACAAAGTTTCAGACCTTTATTCTCTCAACTTTCCTCTGCTCTATATTCATGATTGTTGCAACTGCACTAATTCCTACATGCTGCTATTGTTGTGAGTGAAACTAACACAGAGAAAGGACTCCAGCAACCTCCAGAAATTTGCAACCTGAATTGCTGAATTGCAGGCCAACTTGTCACTTTGCAACCTCAAAACAACACAAACTTGCTGTCACGGATTGGGTGTTACTGGAACTGAAAAAAAGGATCTCAAGCTCTTCTGACCGTAATCTGTCCTTACCGTCACTCTGACTGCTACCTCTTCAAGGGTGTCTCTATAGCTACTTGAGATCATTTCAAAACTACAGATGTCATGAAGCAGTGATTATATATAATACAGTAGATTCATTCCAATCATAGCTAGTCCAGAATGCAGAATCATAATTGCTTGTGCTTGCATGTATGTACTAACCCATTGTGTATACCTTTCTGTATAAATGTGTCTTTGTGTGTATGTGCGTGCCTGTGTTCAGGTTTACGTGTGTGTATGTGAGCATGTACAGTTGTATGTGTGTTTGTGTTATGTGCATGTGAGTATGTGCATGCGTATGAGTGTATATGTCTGCACATGTGCATACATTTGCAGCATGTGTGTGTGCGTGTGAATGTATATGTGTGTGTGTGTGTCTGTATGTACATGTGTGCACATTTCCAGCTAACCCGTGCTTCAGCTTGCTAACCAGCCTCTCTCTCTGCCTCTGTAGTGGATGTGTGGTCGGTTGGGTGCATTTTTGGCGAGATGGTTCGCGGGAAAATTGTGTTCCGCGGCAATGATCGTATCCTTACCTTATTAGGCGCTGGGATGTGGGTATGTATGGGGGGCTGGGATGGGGGTATATATGGGGGCAACAATTGATTAATAACTAATCAGGTGGCATGCATGCACGTGTGGAGTTTTAGTCTACTCTTCTTGTTTTCCAAACTCTGCCATTTTTGTCATGCAGCAGTTTCTCAAATCTTCTGTGCAGTTTTTTTTTAACTTTGTTCTGTCTCTTCTCTTTGTCCAGTCAAGCCCCAAACTTAGAACTGGTTAAAGCTTTTTATTCGAAAGTTATAGTTTGGTTAATGAGGATCACCCCTATGCTTAGGGTGGTACTATCTGAAATCAGAGTACTATTGTGTAAATTTGGCTCTTACCACTGAAGGTGGTCAGGTTCAGTATTTCTAGTTAAAGGGAGAGGCAACAAAATATGTTTTTTTGACCTTGAACTCCAATTCTGACTGGTTTGTGGGGCCCCAAAAAACACAAAGTAAACTCATAGGTGTCCAGAGTAGTGTTTTGTTGTCTGCCTGTTTAACAGGTGGTTGCTGTGTGTGTTTTGACCTTTAGTTGACATCTGGGCCCTGGGCTGTATATGTGGGGAAATAGTCCGGGGAGGCGTGCTTTTCCCCGGCACGGACTGTATCCTTCTGTCCTTGGTTTGACCTTGGTTTTCTCCTTTCTGTTAGTAGTACCTGTTTTTCCGGGGAGCAGCCATCATTTGCGAATGTTACACCAAACAAAATCGGTTTCTTCAGCTCCTACATCCATGCCTAGCGAAAGTTTTCGTATGTTTGCTTTTATTTCTTTCAGTCTTTCTTCTGCAACTATATAATTCTGTCCTGCCATTTTATTTTGCTTCCATCTTTTTTCTTTGCCCCTTTCTAAAAATGACAGATTTTATTTGGTGAATATTAGCAATATTGGCTGTTCCACTCTCATATATTATGTGTATTTTTGTTTTAATTTACATGTCCTCACCACCCCTGTTTTATCAGTGGACTAGTCCAAAACTGGATGACAGAATGAAAAAAAATGGTGGTACCATGCAATGGTGAGGTGTCACACCCCACACCCATTTCTTATTTGGACTGGCCCAAATCCACGGAGCAGGAGAGAAATGCAAGGCAAACCTGGACAGTGCCACTTTTGTGTAGGGGTGTTTGAGGCTGATTTGTTTTTTTTACGTGTGTTTTAGTTGACATCTGGTCGATGGGCTGTATATTGGGGGAGACCGTGAAGGGGACAGTCATGTTTCCTGGTACAGACCGTATCCTCTCTTCTACTTACTCTGCAGAATTTTCTCAAAAAAATCTGCAAAAACACGAGAAATCTGTACGATTACTGTTATATTTTAACTTATAATTCTTTTCATTGCTTATTTATCTACATTTTTCTTAAAACTTGCACCACTTTTAAGTTTCATCAAACATATTATGATTTGCCTACTGATAGTGCCTACTGATATGATAGGTTAACCAATCAGAACAATTCTCTGAGATCCCTGACCAATGAGAGATCAGGGTATGGTAGAGTAACCAATCAGAATGATTCTCTGTGATCCCTGACCAATGAGAGCGCAGGTTATATTTATTGTAGGTTAACCAATCAGAACAGTTCTTTGAGATCCCCAACCAATGAGAACGCAGGGTGTTGTAGGTCATCCAATCAGAACAGCTCTGAAACAACTTACTAACCAATAAGAGCTCAGGTTGTAGCAGGACCCTTAAAGCAATGTCTCAGATGGTTATTGTAGATTAACCAATAAGAACAATTCTCTAAGATCCCTGACCAATCAGAACGTAGGGTGTGGTAGGTCATCCAATCACAACAGCTCTGAACCTGCTTACTAACCAATAAGAGCGCAGGTTATGATCCCTGACCAATGAGAGCGTATGTTATGGTTCTTGTAGGCTAACCAATCAGAACAATTCTCTGTGATCCCTGACCAATGAGAGCTAGTGCAGGGTGTGGTAGGTTAACCAATCAGAACAGCTCTAAACCTGCTAACTAACCAATAAGAGCGCAGGACCCTTAACACGGCGTCTCAGATATCGACCAGTGGAATAAGATCATCGAGCAGCTGGGAACTCCGTCCCAAGACTTCATGAAGAGACTGCAGCCGACGGTAAGGAACTACGTCGAGAACAGACCCAAGTACGCAGGGTACTCCTTCGAGAAGCTGTTCCCAGACGTACTATTTCCAGCAGAGTCCACAGAACACAACAAGTTGAAAGGTTTGTTTGTTCGTTTGTTTGTTTCATCAGTGAAGGTTATGGTCTTGTTACCAGACCTATTATAGCTCCCGAGTCCTACATCCTCTTATCTCTGCAAACAGCTATAATAGGTCTGGTGACCAGGCTATGAAGGTAATATGGTACACCAAAAACAGTTACTGAAGCAACTGGATATGATTTTGAAAACGGTCAGACGTTTCAGGTAGCATCCAGTACCTTTTGACATTGACACTGGAGAGTTGTCAGAGAGTTTTTTTGTTGCTTTAATGACAACTCTCCAGTGTCACTGACGAAAGGTAGTGGATACTACCTGAAACGTCTGACCATTTCCAAAGTCATATCCAGTTGCTTGAGTAACTGCTTTTTGGTGTTTGGTTATGTTTACCTTTGCAGAAGGAAACATATGGTTTTTGCTCTGTTTCTTCTTCTTCTTCACCATACAAATAAGGTCAATGACCTGAACCAGACGTCTGTCACCATGGTAACTGGTGTTGGGTTACATCATGTTGTAGTTTTATAGCAGGAGGGATTTAGACTCCTGTCTGACCATATATGTGAATGAGAGGAAATCTGTACTGTCATGTCGTTGTCATGGTTACCTGTAATCCTCCGTGCTGATTGGTTCGCTGCAGGTGTGTAATCTGATACCCTCCTCCCATGTTGGTCCTTAAGATGATGATGATGATGCATGACTGGTCTCCTGGGATCTGTAGGAGTCATTTTTCTCCCGCTCACCCCCCTCCCCAATTTTGGACTGTTCCAAAAACCAGCCCTTCCCACTAGTTTTGGACTATTCCATGTTATTTTTAGGGGTGTGTGGCATATTGTTATAGGGTAAGGAATGCAGTTGGTCACACCATGTTGATATTTTCTCCTCCTTTTCAAGCCCAAATTCTGATTCCAAAATGTTGTCCCCCTTCAACAGAAATGGTTTGCCCCAAAACTGTCAACAAACGTTGTGATTGGTTGCCATGGATTTTGCTTGATTTTTACAGGAAAACGATCCCGTAGTTCTAACGACCTTGACCTCACTTTCACCCCCGCAGGCCCAAAGACCCGTGGGGACCAATTCGCAGGCTCAAAGGACCATGGGAAATTCCCCCTAGCGACAGGGGTTAGAACTGCAGCCAAAGGTAGCAGCTGTGGCTGTTTGCACTGTGATTTGGCAATATTTTTCAGTTTGGCCGTTTTTCTGCGCTTTTTTGTTGCCCTCTGGCAGGAATGGCTGGAACTGCAGGGGAGCAGATATCACTGTGGTGTGGCAGCTCGTGGGGGGGGGGGGGCGGTATCCAGAACTGTGCCTTATCCAGAATCATTTCCAGACACTGCTCTGGATAGTCCATGCATATCTAGAACCATGCTTTATCTGAAATCTTGCTCAGGCATGGTCCTGGATAGTTCATGCACATCCAGAACTGTGCTTGGGGCACAGCCACACATGTATGTTCTTGGATACACAGAGACTATCCAGAACCATGCCTGATTCAGGCACAGTTCTGCATACACTAGTGGGGCAACAGCCCGGCAACTGGAAGCATTGGAAACAAGCGATAGGCAGCACAGAAATATTAGCAAAGTTTAGCAAAACTACCACCCAACATAACTTTGCAGATGGACCCCCCTCCGCAATCAATGGTGCAGACCAAACTCACCCCAGATTTTGCATGTTATGAGATTTCAATGATCCGACAAGGGTAGAAATGAAAGATAACTACTTGATTGGCTGTTTTTTCCACAGATATTTGATTTTGAACTTTACGTGTAAGTTTGAGGGAAAGAAGGAGAAAGTTGAGAGGAAAGTGTGGCGCACGTTTTACCAGCATGGCGGGTTGTGCGTGGCAGTTTGCAGCAGGTGTTAATAATGGCATGAGCACTGCGCTGTGTGTGTCCAGAACATGTTGCATCCAGAACAGACATGGTCCTGGATAATCCAACCGTATCCAGAACTGTACCTGTGGCAGATCTATGTTGGATACACGGAAACTTTATCCAGAACCTCGCTCAGGCATGGTTCTGGATGGTCTACACAATAACACATATCCAGAACCTTGCTTAATCCAGAGCCTTACTCAGGCACAGTTGTGGATAGTCTACACGTATCCAGAACCATGCTTCATCCAGAACCGTGCCTCAGACACGGTTCTGGATAGTCCATGCATATCCAGAACCGTGCCTGGGGCAAATCTATATTCTTGGATATAGTCAAAGACTATCCAGAACCGCGCCTGATCCTAACTCTAACCCATTCAGGCATAGAACTAGACAGGCACGGTTCTGGATAAAACAGAACACTAACACAACCATTCACCCAGGACATGGACATATAATGCAGACATCCTTGTCTCAAAAGCCCTGCAGTGAATTGTTCCCTCTGTGAAATTGATAAGTCTAGTACATACATGTAGTAGAATGATGAACAAGTGTTATTTCATCTGTTGCATCCAGCCTGTGTTGAGTTTTGAAAATCAAGGAAAAAATTCCTCTGACCAGTTTAACAGTGACCTTCTGAAAATGTTCTGCTAATGTAACAATACTGTGGAAGCATCAGAAAAGTCCTTTTATGCTAACCTTGTTTTCTTTCTTTTTTCATTTTTTTTAACTCCTACATCAGATTTGGATTCCCAGAGGAGGCCTCGTGAGTTTGAGTAGCACACTTAAAATTGCCTTTTTGCTGCAGAAAGTTTGTTTATTTCTTGATTACCTGACAAACTTTCACCCCCCCCCCCTGCAGCGAGCCAGGCACGCGACCTCCTGTCCAAGATGTTAGTGATCGACCCCTACAAGAGGATAACAGTTGACCAAGCCCTGCAACACCCCTACGTCAACGTTTGGTACGACCCGAGTGAGGTGGAGGGGGTAAGTGTAAGTGTTGTTTCATTAGCATTTTTCTGGTGGGGGAGGAAGGGACCATTTTCTGGTGGGGGGTAGGTAACATTTTTTGCTCGGGGGGGAAGTGACTATTTTCTGGTGGGGGAAGGGGGCATTTTCTTGGGGGAGGACGGTAACTAAGAGAACATCTTCAGTGTTTTGGTGTCATTACCGGTAGTATCATGAGCACTTAAATGGGAAAATAATGTTTAGTAAAACTGTTTTTGATGGTTTCTGTTCCATTTTGGCAGTAAAGAAGCATGTGGAACACAGCAAACTTTGCTGTTTGCAGTCCTTGTTGAATTCCTAAGCTTTGTCTGTGTTACAGCCTGCCCCCATCCCGTATGACCACTCTATTGACGAGAGAGAGCACACAGTAGAACAGTGGAAAGGTGAGTTACACTAGAACAATGGAACGATAACATAGACTTTAACAAGTGAAATACCTTAAAACAATTGAAAGGTCAAATACATTAGAACAACAGAAACTTGAAGGTGAAATACTAGTACACTAGAACAATGGATATGTAAGGTCTTTCTTTCCATTTTAGTTCTGTAATTGATGGAAAAAAACTGTTAACTCCCTAGAAGTCAATGGTCTCAATGACTCAAGGGTATACCACAGTCACAAGTTAAAATGCTTGATTTCTACAACTAGCTGTTTAATACTGATGTTTAAACTTAGAGCTATAGATCCAAAACAAAGAAGTTCTCTCACCTAGAGCTTTCAACCAGTGACTCTGGTCTTCCATTCAGTAGACTGAAGCAGAAAACTTCTTTGTGCTGGATCTAAAGTTTGAACTTGTAACTACCAACACAGATGAACTTTCATGATAATTTTGTGTCCTGTTTCAGACCTGATCTACAAGGAAGTGGTGGATTATGTGCAGAAGTTACTGTACGGGAAACTGCCACTTATAGGCAACTCAGCATCAGGTGAGAAACTTTCTTACACACCTGCCCACAGGTAACTCAGGTGAGAAACATTCTTACACACCTGTACATACAGGTAACTCAGGTGAGAAACATTCTTACACACCTGCACACAGGTAACTCAGGTGAGAAACCTTACACACCTGCTTATAGAAGCATGTCAGCAGAATGCACTGTGCGTGTGTGAAACCCTGACTTTTCATGGTTTTCGTTGGATGTTTGGTCAACATAGCATCAGATTTTTGCCTGTTGCAGACGATATCTGAGTTTTCCAACACAACAGTTGGAAACTACAGACGGGATGTTAACCTTATATACATGAATACGACCTTATATGAGACGTTCTGCTATGCACAATACATTATGGGTTTTGCACAGGCGCAGTACGCTCTACCGACATGTTGCTTATAGGTAAAACCTCAGGTGAAACACCTCCCTACGCCACACCTTCTGCTCAGTCTTCAGTTTTGGTTTTGAGTTGTGGCTCGTTTAAAAGTTTCCATCTTGTCATCCTGTTTTGTTCTTGCTGCCCTCTTGCTGTTTTTCCCCTCCATGCTCCCTTCTCTCCTTCTGTTCTTCCCTCCCCTCCCCCCTCCTGTTTCTCACCTGTGGACCGGTCCGGGTCACAGAGGGGTCAGAGGTCAATCTCAGCCAACCACAGCCCAGGAAGCGGAAGCTCTCAAGGTCACCAGATGACGCCAACATGACCAAAACATTCTGTACGCTGAACGTTGGGTCAGCCGGGGTCACAGAGAAAGAGGAAAGCTCTCAGACTGGTGACTGAACTGTCAATCAGGTTACCATGGAAACCATAGAACACACAGTCTTCCTGCTGACCTTGAAAAGTGCCAGGTTACTGGCAGAAGGCAGATATCGAACTAAATTTGTACATTTTTCATCAGCAAATCTGGTGTATGACTTCAGCATGTCTTGTGGATGACATCAGCACATTTCATCTATGACATCAGCATGTCTCGTGTACATCATGACATCAGCACATGTAGAGATCTGAACTGATGAACTGATGTATTCCCTTCTTCCCCACTGTTAACCCTCCTGTCATTCCCCTCTTTTCTCCCTATTTCTAATCACCAACTCAGTGGACTGCTCACTTTTGAGATTTGAGGCAGTTTTGCCCCTTGCTGAACCCTGTTTACTGACGACGGGTTGTTTTGTCCAGCATAGGCGATACCTGCAGCACGTCTTGACGCCGACGCGACCCGGACGCCGACCTCTCAACCCTGGCGACCTTTCAACCTCGACCTCGTCTCGTCTGACGCTCGTAGATACAAAAATCAAGGAAGGAAAAAAATAATTCAAGACAACCCGAAAGAAAAATTCCGCAAAAAGCTCCAGCATCCAATCTGTGCAATGCTTCTGCCATTTGCGGTCGACACAAGTGTACCTACCCACCCCTCCAGAGGGAGTGGTGCGACCCACATCCACATACTAGTAGTAGATGGCGGGTCGCGCCATTCTCCATGGGAGGGGTGCGCTTCCTGCATGCCTGGAACAGTTGTTAACTTAGCTCATTGTCCTACTTTGCTGTATTTACTGTGGAATATCTCCCCATCACTACTTGATAACTATGGAATTACGGGTCACAAATTTTCAGACAAATCGCCCCAAAATTTCTGCAGCAAACCTAGAGAGTCTTTGTTTCGTCCTTAAAAGGTGGGGGGGTCTAAGATTAGTTCTAACAGAGTCTGCTATTGGTCGGATTGACATTCAAATCATGTTGTAAAATTGCAGACAGTGATTATTTTAGCCAATAGGGAGACTTCTTACATTTTGGCTCATCCAATGGCAGACGCTGTTTCATCTCCCTTCAGTTACCTAGGTAACCATATTCCATGTGTTGAAAAGCCTTCCTCCATGTTGACATTGACTCTGCTGTTTGATGTTTCCAAGGACAAAATGGCGGCTCATATTTGAAATTCACAGCTGACAAGTGAACCCATCTGATTGGTTAGTTTTGGACCGTCCCACTTTGACTGGGGTTGTGCAGCTAGCACTTTTCTTGATTCAGGCCGTAAGCTTGGCTTTAGATATCACAGTAGGGTAAGTTAAAGTAATTATTGATGTAAGAAACTAAACTAGAAGTGTCCAACACCAAGTCTGCTAGCATAGAGACTGCCTGGGAACACGGCTTCCAGTTTCTACTCACTAAAATTCCACTCAGAGAAAAGTTCGAACAAGATTTTCTGTTGTCCGAAACAAAAAACTTTCCCAAATTTTATTCTCCGTCCTTCTCCCTTCGGAATTCGAAATGGATCAGTCCAAAATCACAGGATGTTGAGAATAGATTGAGGACGGACAGAACCATGTTAGCGCGAGGGGGGTGGATTTTGGCCAGCTGAAGTCCAAGACAGCAAAGTTCTATGCAAAATCTGTCCAAGACTTTGTGGATTTGAGGCTACTAAACTTTTCAAAACGTACCTGTCTTTCTGTGAGCCAAAATCTTGCATGCTAAACGATTGCATCATTTCTTTGATTTTGGACCAGTCTATTTAACAAAAGAGGGGGGTTGTACCAGGCTCTCTCTGATGTGCTGAGACTTGATGATCATTCAGGGATAGTGTATATTTTGGTAACCAATAGCAACCAGTTTCCACCAATAGCGTTAGCTGAATGTGTTCAACTTGAGAGTCCCATGTTCGGCTGCACCAAGTGCGTTTTGCGGATGACATCCTGACTACACAAAAATCTTACACAACAGGGATAAAAATGATTCCAAATTTTAGAAAGGAAATTCCTAATTTTAGAACTGAACACATACAATACTAATCTCCAAGCAGATGCTACGGTGGTAAGGAGTGTCCATTAGCCACAGAGGCTATTGGATACTGTCTTGCCACCGTAGGATCTGCTTGGAGATTAACAAATAGAGGCTTTTGTTAGGATACACAAGTTACCATCTCTTATGTGGACAGCAAGTTGTTACTGTGTGGCATTCCAAAACATGTCAAATCCCACTGTGTGCTACAGTGTTGCACATTTTAAAAAGATAATGGTAACCTTTACCAAATCAGTTCCACTTATTGGTTGGTAACCAGGCCAACATTAGACCATGTGTGGATGTCATCCGTACAGCCCAGTTGGTGCCTGCCTGACTCTCCTGTGTACAAAGCCATGTAAATAGCCAATGCACCGCCCGACCAGGGTACACATGCATGACACGCACTACAACTCACTTCTGTAGGTAGGGAACAAGAAAATTGTGCTGAGGAACACGTTTTAAATTCATGTAAAGGTAGGGAAAAGAACTGTATGCTTAGGGGTGCTTGCAAGCCTGTTTGCAACTTACCAGTGTAGCAGTCTGCCTACCAGTGTAGCAGTCTGCCTACCAGTGTAGCAGTCTGTCTACCAGTGTAGCAGTCTGTCTACCAGTGTAGCAGTCTGCCTACCAGTGTAGCAGTCTGCCTACCAGTGTAGCAGTCTGTCTACCAGTGTAGCAGTCTGCCTACCAGTGTAGCAGTCTGGCTATAGCTACCAGTGAAGCAGTCTGCCTACCAGTGTAGCAGTCTGTCTACCAGTGTAGCAGTCTGTCTACCAGTGTAGCAGTCTGCCTACCACTGTAGCAGTCTGTCTACCAGTGTAGCAGTCTGTCTACCAGTGTAGCAGTCTGTCTACCAGTGTAGCAGTCTGTCTACCAGTGTAGCAGTCTGCCTGCCAGTGTAGCAGTCTGTCTACCAGTGTAGCAGTCTGCCTACCAGTGTAGCAGTCTGTCTACCAGTGTAGCAGTCTGTCTACCAGTGTAGCAGCCTGTCTACCAGTGTAGCAGTCTGCCTACCAGTGTAGCAGTCTGCCTACCAGTGTAGCAGTCTGCCTACCAGTGTAGCAGTCTGCCTACCGGTGTAGCAGTCTGTCTACCAGTGTAGCAGTCTGCCTACCAGTGTAGCAGTCTGCCTACCAGTGTAGCAGTCTGCCTACCAGTGTAGCAGTCTGCCTACCAGTGTAGCAGTCTGCCTACCAGTGTAGCAGTCTGCCTACCAGTGTAGCAGTCTACCTACCAGTGTAGCAGTCTACCTACCGGTGTAGCAGTCTGTCTACCAGTGTAGCAGTCTGTCTACCAGTGTAGCAGTCTACCTACCGGTGTAGCAGCCTGTCTACCAGTGTAGCAGTCTGCCTGCCAGTGTAGCAGTCTGTCTACCAGTGTAGCAAACTACCTAAACTTGTAGGTCATCACTGATGTTGAGATACTCGGATACATGTGTTTAAGAGTGCTGACAGATCCATGTACCAAAAATGATTAGCCACATTTTACAGTTGTTTTTATGACGTTAAGTTTCCATGCATGGAAGGTTAAGAAAAAACTCTGGACAGAGGATCCGGGTGTTTCAGAGTAAAAGACTGCAACACTGTTCTCACTTCCATGTTGACATGTAGATTATATTGTGTATAATGTATACTTTATATTTATAGACAAGCTTCAATCTTTTCTTACCTTCCAAATGTTTTCTACATTTTGTCTATAATGATATGTTGATTTGCTCCAGCTATCATCAAAATGAATTTTAATGCAACACCCCTCTGGTATGTGTACTGGTGGTACAGCCTTGTTGTGTAAGATGTACATGGGATGTACCATTGTTGTTGAGCGGGGGTGCTCCGGCTGGTGTTTGCGATGTCCGATTGTGGAGGAACTGGAGTGTACATGTGCAATGAATGTTGTTGCTGTAATATATGGCCCAGCCAGCAGGGGGCGCTGCTGCACTGCTGGCTGTATGTAGGGATTAGATAGTCCTGTGATGTTACTTATGTGTGAAACTCCCAGGTAATAAAGTCATCGCAGGCGGTCTGGCACCACAGATACAAACTGGCTGTTTTGTGTTTACTGTAGATTAAGCCACACAGCACGTCGGCAGAACGCACTGCGCCTGCGCAGAACCCTGTATTTTCGCGTTTTTCGTTGGGTTTTTGGTCAACATTGCATCAGAATTTTGCCTGTTGCGGAGGATATTCTCTCCAACACAACATTTGGAAACTACTGTCGAAATGCCAACCTTATATGAGCGAATACAACCTTATATGAGACGTTCTGCTGAAATGCTATGTACAATACATTACGGGTTTCGCGCAGGTGCAGTATGTTCTGCCGACGTGCTAAGCCACACCAATTTAATTTGAAGACTCCGGGCGACTCCATGTGTTTTACAATAAAAGCAAGCTAACTAAAAAGCATCATGCTTCACCTCAGACAGATACATGTACATGACCTTTCCTAAACACAAAATAATTTATATATTCATTCATTCACCCACAAAATCCAGAAGATACATGTACAAACTTAGTGCAGCTTTATTGTAAAATGTCCAATATAAAATTGTTCTAAAATATGATTCGGTATAATAATCTTCTGTCAGAACACCACTCCATTATTGCCTGAATCCTGAATAATATAATTTCCAGTCTTGTACAAGGTCCACAGAAGAGAACCTGTAAATACAAGACTTGTACATGAGACTACATTTACTCTGGACTCACAGAGTCCAAATACACTACCAGGACCGTAAAATTTAACGATTTACGCTGTTACACAAACAAACGCACGGCGTGTACACGTTCGTACGCACGGCGTGTGCACATTTGGGGCGGAGTCCAGATCAGCGGGGAGTCAGCTCATTATCACTGGGGATACCGATAATGGGCCGCTGGTCTGCACGGTAGAGAAATAATTACGTTTGATTTTACGACAGTTGTATACCGGTCACGTCTGCGCGCAATGTCGTAATATTGTGTGTCCATTACGGCGCACGAATAGAATCCTAGTACCGGTCAAAAAAAGTCAGCTGCGGACGAAAGTTGCCTTCCGTTTACATTTTGGCCCTGCCATTTTCGTATAGGTTCTGTGTTATACTTTGAAGATGATAATTAAAGTTCGTGTGCCGGTATTTATCCCGCAAACATAACGTACTGTATGATAATTTGACGATTTCTTCAACTGCGCCGCCGTGCTGCATGCTGCTGTTCCCCGAGTGACACGCGGCCGGTCAAAGTGGTGATACACATGTACTGTACAATGGCACACCGCGGAGCCTACGGTTGCTTTCCCTTTCTCCACGTATGGCTCTGTGTTTTCCTTGGTACATCAAAGCAATCCGTCTGCTTGGCGAACAGGGAATTGCGTCGTTCTGCGACAAATGCCGATTTTATCCCATGGGCGATGCACTCAATGCATGGCCCGGGAACTGCTCAACTAGTTGCGCCGGTTTGTAGAACCGCAACCAGTGTGTTTTGTAAGGTTGCCGACACACCGTGCAACACGTCAGCCGCCGAGCGGGTAAATGTTGTGATCTCGGTTAAAATAGTTTCTCGTTCGTATTTGGAGTACATCGTCAACCAATCAATTTGTTTGGTCTCCGCGATCTTGGCCGGAAAGTTCGGTAGCGAGCGGAATATTTGCTTACGGGAGGAAAGATCAAAGGTACATTTTTCGTATGAAGTTGAACAAGGGTGTTGATATAACGTCCTAAGTATAAAGTCAATCAGGTACATTGAACAAAAAATCTCGTGCAAAACTGTATCCACCAAAACCCTGTGGATAAAACAGTGGTTTTCAAAAATAAAAATCTGAGTTTTTTTGGGAGCGGGAGTTAAAAACCAGATACATGTACGCCTCTTGACAGGTCATGTCTCCTCAGACACCACGGCGCCGTCCTGTCAAAATTGATTGATGAACTTCGAAGCTACCGCGGGTCGGCGCCGACATGTGTCGAGTCAGAGGCGACGGCACAACTTTCACTACACTCAAGTGCTGGAAATTCTGTCCTTAGTTTTACCGACAACGTCACGCCGGAAGGTACACGAAATTACGCCGGAGAAAGTATTTTAGGCCCTCTATTTTGTTCTAAGGTTCTGGCCACTTTTAGCCGATGATACGAAAACAATTTTGTCACACAAAAAAAAAACAATCATGTACAATGCGAGGGGGATATTGCGTGCTCTCTTGTTCTTCCGAAGTTCACAGAGTTGTATCATTGATAATAGTTGTGCGATTATTTTGTCCTAACACAGCATTTAGACTCTCTTGTTCCTACTAAGTAAACATAGTGTTGAGATAACTGCATGTTGTGTGCGTGTGCAGCGCGGCGAACTGAACGGCCGTCCGCGGGGCGGGACTCAATTAAATATCAAACAGACGCTAATCGATTCTTAATCATCAATATTGTTAAAGGAAAACACAGGTCGAGGCAAACGCCAGTGGGTGGGCCACTCACTCACGACATCGCGCTTGTACATGAATGGTAGGGCGTGACACAGTGGCGGGCGCTACAAAGGCGGCAAAAAAAACGAGGCATATATAAAACGGTGACGATCTTCCCCCACCAACCTCTGCTTGGAGAGTACTCCTGACTAGCCTGATTAAATCGTTTTTGCCGGCCGCCCAACATCCAGCCGGCCCCCGAAAAGCTTGATGGGGAGTCCCTCTATTAAAGTCGGGGGAACCAGGCTTTCCAAATATGGATAATTTATTCTGTCGTCATCCGCTCACCGCACCCGGCACGCTCCCGCCCAGCCAGGGTGTTGGCGATTGACATCGGCACGCGTCTGATCTGTCTGTGCCCGCGGTGGGAGGAGCCAACTATGAATGCACAATTTATTAAAATGATGTTGTTGTCTCTAGTTTCACACGATTTTTCTCAAAATGGCGGCAAACACGCCGAGGAAGGAATGTGAAGAAATTAGTCTTGATGGAATTCCTTCTGATAGATGCGCCAACTGTGCCAAAACTTTTGAGGGAACAATGGGGAGACATCGCAGGAACATTTTTGGAACTGAAACGGGCCTGTCAAGTGCAGGGTACAGTATCAAGCAGGCAGTGGAAAGTTTGGCTGACGTCTCTATCAGCTCCTCAGTGTCAAAACAACATGCCGCCTTCGTGTGTAATGACTGCTTTTATTCGGTTAAGTCTTATGTCGCTGGCAGCAAGAAAACACGGGAGGCAAAGCAAAAGTTCCAAGAAGCGGGAAGTAGCGGTTTCCTCAGTCGCAGGTTCAAGAGAGGACGCAATATCTCTCGGGATTCCACGCCAAAGAAACCGAGAAAAAAGTTGTTCTCGCCATTATCGCCACACCACACACCACATGTGCAGAAGACAGCTCCAAAGGAACCTTCCACGATCAGAGTGAGTTATTCTTGTAAATGCTTTTCCTTCCGATAATCGCAAACATTTCTGGCAAGTTTTAAACTTTTCGGTAGAGACTATTTTAACGACGAACAAGTGTGAGTAGTTGTTAATGTTGTGTTACTCGCTTTTGTGTATTGCATTGTTTTCTTTGAAGTTCATCGCAAAAATGCCGACGATATGAGCAGATTTTTGAACACCACGAGAGCAATTTTTTCCTGGGTCGTAGTTGCGCTCCAATTTGTTGTGTGCACTGTTTACTAGCGGAATATTATTTCCCGGTTGTCTAGTTTTGCTCCTATGTATTTTTTGTTCATGTCGGGGTGCACTGTTTACATTATTATTCAATGGATTATAGTATACTGTTTTATGCTTCACCAGTAGATTGACGATATTTCTGACTCCCCTATTTCTAAACTTCAATGACCAATGATAGGAGGATGGCATCAGGGCATGTCAGTATTTTAAACGCATGTATCAACATTATGCAACAGTTATATAGACTCAATGTAAAAATTGCATGTTTTGAAGTCTTCACAGTATACCATACAGACTTGTAAGTTGTACTTTGTACAAAGTACAAACCAAGCAGGTTTTTAACTTACTCTTGTATCATGTAACAGTTAAGGAAAGTTAGTAAAGAAAATGGAGGTTGGCAGAAAATGTTCATGCATTCTCTTCCAAGATTAGAGGTTGAGGAATGAAAGTAGTTTTCACCTCAATCTGACATCATCTTCCTTCTTTCTTTTTTTGTATCATGATCATAATTAATTTCATACATGTAACATTTGGAAGTACCTTTAATTTTTCTTCTCCAGGGATGTAGCTGCCTTATAAGTTTTAAAAAAATAACTAGGTGTGAGTAAGTGAGTTTTTTCCTGAATTATATGGTTGCAATGATTCTTCATGTATGCTTTTTGTTTGCCATACAACATTTCCTGACTGTATCTCTTTTTTTTCTAGGTGTCAGTAGGAGCCAAAAATGACCGCAAACTTGGACCACACATGTCGAACATTGTAAGACCACTTCTCAAATCAAACAAATCTGTTAGAAACTCCTTTATGAAAACTAAAAAAAACAATATCAACATGTTTTCAAACAAAGAACTATCAGTTTATTTTTAATGAAATAGGCTGTACAGAACTAGTGACAATATCATAATGTTTCCACTTGTCAAGTTAAAAACTATCAGTTTATTAAGAAAAGAACAAGAATAAAAATTAAACTACGTTATGCAATCATGATATCAGTAAAACATTTCCATTGTAGGAAATAGGCTGTACAGAAATGGGAAAACTAGATTTTACAAGTGACTAATGATATCATATTTACTAACAAACAATATAATGTTTCTACTTTTCTAGCTAACAACTATTAGTTTATTAAACAATGTACTATTTATAGGCTACAAATTTTAAGGAAAAGAAATTGCAAACAAGAATGAAAACTAAACTACTGGCTACAATCAATGAATCATTACAATATTGTTGTTTTGCACATACTGTACCATCTATATAGCACTATGTACAATTTGGGGGTGTTTCTTGTGCAACGCATCACACCGCAGCAAAACGCAATGAATGCGGAAGTAACTATGGCACCGCAGGGCAAAAAAATGTCAGGGGTCTATGACCTGATTAAGACATCAAATTACTGAAAAATATTGTGTAAAAAATGCCAGCAGGACAAGGGTTAAGATGTTGGATTGACAGTTTCTACCCAATGCGGCCATGCTGTGCCCGCACTGTTCTGGCCCACGTGTTAATGCTGTCACAGCATGCTTTCCAGGCCATCTTCAGCTTGTGGCTTGTGTTGAGGTTGAAGTACTTTGCTGTGTACTCTTTGATCTTGTCCATTCTCACTTCGTCCAGTTTCTGTCTGCCCATAGTACCATTTACATTGCACCGGAGGAACTCCCCCTCTGTAAACATTTGCCGGGCGCAGTGCAATGCAAACAGGGGGGTATTTGTTCGCCCGGCATCTAGGTACGAATGTTCCAGTTCCTCGTTTGATAACATATACCTCCGATGGTCAGTGGTCTGAACTCTCCTCTTTGGAGCGGTGCGTGGGCGGGCAGGTGTGTGTGTAATAGGTGTGGCAGCACCATTCTGCAGATTTTTCAGTATTCTCAAAATTTCTTGAATGTCTCTTTCATTTTTTGAAATCCTTTCCTCCATGGACATTGGCGCTGAACGGTGTGATGGTGATTGACTGGGTGATGATGTTGGAGGAGATCGCTGGGGTGATGATAATGGTGACCTTGGTGGTAGAGGCGATGGTGTTCGTGATCTTGAAGATGTCTGCAGTGATGAGGATGGTGTGGACTGGAATGCTGGTGTCTGGAAGGATGTCGAACTTTCAGGGGCAGTCTCTGTTGTATCTAGTGACAGGAGTGACCGGAAGGATAATGTTGTCTCCATAGTCTCGCTTATCAATCTACCTATTCCAAACAAGCTAGTGTCAGCCTCCCCTAAGTTAACATCTTCTGTCAGATGTTCAGCTGCCATTTCTCTCTGCACCTCGGGGCTAGGGGTCGCACGTTCCCTCTCTGTGTCGGGCTGAACCTCGGGGGTAGGGGTCGCACGTTCCCTCTCTGTGTCGGGCTGAACCTCGGGGGTAGGGGTCGCACGTTCCCTCTCTGTGTCGGGCTGAACCTCGGGGGTAGGGGCCGCACGTTCCCTCTCTGTGTCGGGCTGTTCCTCTGGCTGGTCCCTTTGTTTTGGCGTTGCAGCAGCCAATACTGTGGCTCCCTGATTTGAAAAGAATAGAAATTGGCATGTGCATAATGTCTTGCATCATTTAAAGATGAATAAATATTTTACATATTCAATTTTTTTTAAATTGAAAATCCAGAAAACATGCTATATGTTGTATTACACTTACAGTACCTCTATGTAGAGAAAGGAAAATATTCACATATTACTTTAAAAATCAAAAGTACATTATCTTAAACAATAATCATTCTACATGTACTATGAAGTATAACAAAATTGTAACAACTACAAAAAAAAACAATAAACTACATTGCTATTCACCTTTTTTGTTGTCCCTTTCTTTTTCGCCGTCCCTTTTCCTCGTGTCTGTTCATTTTCATTGTGGTTCTGAAAAAAAAAAAATTCTGTAAAAAATATTCCAGGTAGCCAGTTGCACATTGCTTTGGAAACACATATCTGTGGAAAATGCTGCTACTAGGAGAAAAGAAGACAGGAGAACAAGCTTTCATTGGAGATATACAATAATTGCACCCTCATGGGTAATAAAGGTAGTGGATCTAAGTTCTTAACCCTGATCACCTAAGATCTAAGCCCATGAAAATTTGTTGGAAAGCAGTAAATAGTATACTACTAGTATGGCATCCCAGAAAGACAGCTGTCACAGTGCAGGGGGCGGATACTCTCCAAGCAGAGGTTTGGGCTTTGGGTTATTTTGGCGTTTTTTTCTTTAATTCTTTTTATTGGTTTTTTTTCCACTGGAATTTTTCTTTACCCTTGGGTGAAAGAAAAATTCCAGTACAAACAACAAACCCCGATAAAAAAGTAAAACAAACGCCAAAATAACCCACAACCCAAACCTCTGCTTGGAGAGTAGGGGCGGGAAACCCCTTTATAATAGACTGGACTGGTGCCAATGGCTGGCAACCAGACTCATCTGTCAATCACAGCACTTGCCACAGAAGGGGGCACTACATCAATAGCCTGGTTACCAAACCTATTATAGCTCCCCAGTCCTACATCCGGAGAGGATGTAGGACTCGGGAGATATAATAGGTTTGGTAACCTGGTAACCAGGCTACTACATCAAAGGACCATAAAGACCCCGCTAGTCAGGCCTGTGCGCGTGTCATTCTGTCCCAAAACAACATTTTTCACATTTGATCTGGCATTGTTGAAGAAATAAATGCAGCCAAAATGCCGTCACGCTAGATTGAAAATGAACGTAGCGGGGAAAAATTAGCGTGACGGTACAAAATGATGGCGTACGGTGCCTCGCGCTAGCTTTATATTAGTACCCTGATTTACTAAAGGTACACGGTACGTCGATGGTACGTCGAAGAATGAATACCAAATCTCAAACAACAAAGAAACATCAAATACTAGCAGTAACTTTCAAACAAATATGAAAACTCTGGTACATTTGAATATATCATGAATTTGTTCTAACGGGGAAAATATATTTTGTAATAGTTTGTAATAACATATTTTGTATCAGGTGCGTTTAACTACTCTCCAAGCAGAGGTTTGGGTTTTGGGGTGTTTTTAGCGTGGGTTTGGTGGGGAAAAAAATTCAGTGCAAAAGAGAACCCCCGATAAAAAAGCCTTAAAAAATGCTATGAATACCCCCAAAACCCAAACCTCTGCTTGGAGAGTAGCGTTTAACAACTGCGTATAGAAATTCTTTGCAACGAAGGACACAAAACAGTGAACCAATGACATTATACACAGAAGGACTGGGCTCAGGATTCGACTCGTGTGAAAAAACAATTGACACCTATATGCCGATTACCCCTTGATTTACATAAATACAAAGCGCCCGCAAGCGGCCCCCGCTATTGTTAGAAAATTTACGATGCTACGACCGGGTGACGGGCACATTGTTTTGAGGAAGTTTGGAGTGATTTTGAGGATTAAAAATAATTTTTAGTATGATTTTGAAGAATTGGAGGGGGATATATCCACACACGTAGTACTACACTTGAATCAGGGACCTTTGCCTGAACGTAACGTTACACACTAGCGCGAGCGGGTGTTCGATATTTCTGCGTTTTACACTGAAGCCCCAAGAAACAAACACAACGTGCCAACCTTCTGTTTTTTTGCCAAAAAATACAAACAGACACGGACCATTATTTCGGTACCAGGGAGAGCTATGTAGGATTGCAGGCAGGAGCTTCTATTGCGTGCGATCTACGTTTGATCAGAAAATACCCCCCCCCCCCAAACACACAAAAAAGTTGCTTTCAATATGAAATCTACGTAGTTTTGAAGGTTGAACAAATGACACAGAGTATGGTTTGGCGAATAATGTAATATTCCAATTCATTTCTTTACATTTTCGTCTTTTTCGTTTGATTTTGGCATTCAACGACATTTGTATCGTCTTTAAATGTTTTTTTTAAACTTACGGTATATATTTGCAACTGTTTTGTACGATTTACAGTATGGTTTTTTTTTGTAAGATTTACAAACGGCCGAAAATTCATGCGCGGGCGGATGTCATCCATAAAATCAAATCAACATGGTCTTAGCTAGATTGTTTTAACCTTGTACTTACAGAGCTGGCCAAACCAGTTTTTTTGCGTGGTTTGTAGATATCCTTTGTTTACAAAATCACTAAGAACAATGCGCGTAGAAAACAAGAGAAGCTACTGCAAACAGATTAAGCAACAACGAGAATGATGCATCGTTTTAGATCGGCGCAAAAAATACAACTGTACTGACCTTCTCTCTCCTATTTTCCTTCCCGCGCTTCTTCTTAGCAACTCCACCACTTTCCTTGTCCTAGAAACGATATAAAACACATCGTGATTTAATGAAATGTTTTATTGCAAATTCATGCCCGAGAGCTAATTGCAAGAACAGAAGAAACATTTAGCATAAGAACAGGCCATACACAGAGAAATACTAATAACCCAATAGATCCCCCTACACGGCGATTGCTGGGCGACCAAAATTAGATATTTCGACTTCGTAACAGCTACGACGCTCAATGCAAAACAATATTTGAAAAAAGAAAAGAAAGAAAATTCGTTCCTACCATTTTTCGTTTCTGAGTCTTGTTGTTTTCCTTCGCTGGAGCTAGCGGCTGGCGCCGGGTTGGTGGAACCCACACTTCACCGTCAGCAAGGTCTTCATGGTCAGCGTTCAAGATACGCAGTATCTCGTTGTGATTATCTGTGGAACAAAATGATAAGAAATGTTCGAGTTCAGAATCGCCGTGGTGCTTGAAGGGGTCCGAGGAGACAAGAGCCTTGTGTGATGCTATGGACAATTTGTCTATCGAATACGAATAGAAAGTATTAACCTATGTTTTGAAGCAATTAGCGTTGCGCCAATTTGAATGGCAAGTGAAATCACTGTGCTTTCGTATGGAATGTTCCACCCGCGGAATATCGGTCTTCCATGTTCTTCGCATGTTCAAAGTCGTATGTCGTATCTAACAGGGTTACCGGCACCGAGAGAAGACTAATATGGAACCATTACTCATTTAAGGTCACAAACATGTCATTGATAAAAACTTAATTTGTCTAGCTTTCATTGGCAAGAATCGGTTCGTCTAATATACTAGTAACAAGGACGATAACTACTAGTACTCACCATGGGAGAATACGACGTTCGCGTCAAATTGTTCCCCTTCGTACAAGATCTTAACCTCTGCGCCATTTTCACCAGCCTTGTCGTAAAAGTCCGGATGAAGCAGCCTCCTTGTGGGCCCTGAAGTATACTTGCCGTCGCTTGGGCACCAAACGATAATCTCACGTGGAATCTTTACTCTTTTTGGCATGGCTGAAAACAAGACTGCCTTTCGTCGAGATGTAAAAGTGATTACTAGTATCTTAACTCTGCAAACTGGTTAAATAGACCAAGCAAACAAAAAAACTGTTCTCATTGGTTACACAAAACAAGATAAACCGGTTATTGATGACGGAGGTCGGTGAAAACGCTGCCATCTGGCGATGCAATTGACACGTACGTAGACAATACTACTACTATTTGTTTGTATAGGCGCATTCATAGACTACGGGTGAGTTATGAATAATGTATTACTTGACAGGTTTGCGAACATTGGAAATGGCAATACACATACTATTTCCTTTATAAGTGTCGGAAACATACAACGCATCAAAGTACAGGTGTTAAATGTTGTTCCAGACATTTTGATATTCAAGTTTTCTCGCCTTTTGTGACTTTTTCATGGGAAAATCTCCAATCAAAGTATTTGCCGAAAGTTCACAAAATGCCAGCCTTTATAAGTGTCGGAAAAAAACAACGCTTCAAAGTACAGGTGTTAAATGTTGTTCCAGACATTTTGATATTCAAGTTTTCTCGCCTTTTGTGACTTTTTCATGGGAAAATCTCCAATCAAAGTATTTGCCGAAAGTTCACAAAATGCCAGCCTTTATAAGTGTCGGAAAAAAACAACGCTTCAAAGTACAGGTGTTAAATGTTGTTCCAGACATGTTGATATTCAAGTTTTCTCGCTTTTTGTGACTTTTTCATGGGAAAATAGACTGAAAGGATTTCCCTCCTATCCCCTACCACGAGAAAACAGTTTCACTACTAGTACTAAAATCATAGAACCCGTATCGTAGAAGAATTGGGTAAATTGGTCTTCCATTGCCTCAAAAGAATAAGTTAAACCCAGCAAAACTAGTGCCATGTATGTTGTTCTTCTTGTTTGGGTACTGCACAACACCCCTAAATTGGGGTAAAGCGTACAGGGGAGAATGTGTAGAATGTGGTATAATGTTAGACGTAGACTCTCATACCAATGGTATTTTCTTTTTCGTACATATGGCCATGTTGATTTGATTATATGGATGACATCATCCGGGAACCCCAAAATTGATGCGCGCGTGCGAATAAAAAAAGTTTTGCAAAAAAAAGTTGTTTTCATTATGAAATCTACGTGGTCATGAGGGTTGAACAAATGGGACAGAATATGGTTTGGCGAATAATCTAGTCTTCAAGTTCATTTCTTTTACAATTTCGTCTTTTTTTCGTTTGATTTTGGCATTCTACGACATTGGTATGGTTTTTTTTTTGTAACTTACGGTATATTTTTGCTCATTTTGCAACTGTTTTGTACGATTTACAGTATGGTTGAAAACTTTTTTTTTTTGAAACGGCCGAAAATTCATGCGCGCGCGGATGTCATCCATATAATCAACATGGCCTATTGTTTGTACATGTACCTGCAATTAGCCCTCGGGTATGTATTTGCAATAAACTTAATCTCCTTGAGACAATAGAACGTGGACAATGCGGTGCCACCTAGACCAATGACTGGTCGTAGTTATTGAGAACGAGTTTGACACAAAGCGCATTTGGCACATTACAGGTGGACAAATGGTCTAAGCTATCGTATTTTTCGAATTTGTTCCTTTGCAAACGTTTTGTTGCTCAGCAGTATGCCAAAAAGTCAGCTCGTAAACCATCGTGTTATCACCCTGCACAAGCAGGGCTTTTGGGCCAACACAAATTTCGCGAAATCTATTGACTGAAGGGTTGACCTGCACAAGGCAGACAGCTGCGGTGATAATCAAGAAATACAAGCAGGATGGAGTAGTAACTTACAAGCCGTTGGGGAATGGCGGGATCATCAAGATAACATTGGACATGAAGAACATGATAGACGAAGCGATGGATCGCAATGACGAACTATCGGCAGCAGAGTTGGCTGCCGAGTTATATAGAAGGTGAATTGCTTTTTATATGTAGCCCGTAATAGCCTACTAATTCCTTCTTTAGCGTGTACAGTTAATTTTTTGGCAGTTTATGAGGTACTATTATGCTTTCGTAATTTCATTTTCCTAGCAATTGTAACTTGTCTGTCTTTGGACATTTTTCTTGTTTACTACGGTTGAAATTAAGCATTTATAATTGCGTTTTATTTTCTAGAACGGGTGTCACCCTTTCGGAGAAGGCAGTAAGAAAAGCTAGGACGGACTTGGGTTGGGTCAAGACAGGCACTAAGTATTGCCAGCTTGTCAAAGTGGTCAACCAACAGAAGAGAATAGAGTGGTCCCACGAAATGCTGGGGACTGATGAAGACTTCCGTAACGTTATCTTCACGGATGAGTCGTCTGTCTGGATCGACAGACACGCAAAGGTAAATTTTTCTGCCGAATGTAAAACAAAAAGCAAGACATTTTGAAAATGTTAGACATTACATATAATCAATGATACAATATGCTTGCATTCCAATGAGCTTCTCGTCATGCCTCTCTTTCATTCGAGGCGTTTTTGCAGCTGATAAAACTAGGGAGCACGTTTCATGTTATGATGTTACAAAATCTGACACTTTGCGAGCATAATGGTGACTCATATTTATTCGACAGGTATGCTTCCGTAGAAAGTGGGAACCCCCAAAGCTGAAACCAACAGTCAAACACCCATACAAGGTCCATGTGTGGGCAGGCATCTCAATGCGTGGGGCGACAACTATTTGCTTGTTCACCGGGAACATGGACAGCGAATTCTACGTCAACACCATTCTGGAGGGCTACCTTCTCCCCTTCATCCAGCAGACATTCCCGGACGGACACAGATTTATGCAAGATAACGGTATGTAGCTGAATCCAATGTTGCTATAGTCATAAATATATAGATAAAGATGTTATTTTAGTGTTTATCAGGAATTTAAAACTCAGGTCTTTTACATGATAATAATAGATACAAGTTTGATTTTATTGTCTAAAGAAGCGAGAAGCAGAAACCTGTACAAAGTAGTTCAAGTCGGTATAGCTTTAGTAAATTTTCCTTCTGTTTCATCCATGGCCTGTTTGTAATAGCATTGTTAGCCGGCTCTCATAACACTCGTTCTCATTCAAATGTACAAAATGCTGTCGCCACTCTTTACGACTAGATATTAGCTAAATCACGGAACTTATCGTTGTTTTCTTCACTTTCCCACTACACTTCACGAAAAATGTACCGCAACACTAGGTTTGATTGATGACTTGAGAGAAATTATGGTCGCAGGTTGGATTTCTACCCCTAAAAAGCGGCTGTCGCCTGAGAAGAAATGGAAACTTTAAAAAGTAGCCTAAAACGTAGCTATTTGATTACGGCAGTAGTTTTCTGCCTGGTGAAGTCGGGTGGCCAGGCCCTTTGACTGATCAAGTCAGATCGCTCCTGTCACTATTTTTGTACGCTGTGCGAGGTGTTTCATACCTGTCGCCAAGTTCTGTAACATCCGTTACCGCTCAAGTAAGACGGTCGTGCAGTTTAGATAGAGTCACATATAAGACAACAAATTGCCATTTTGATAACTCTTAGCAAGTTTTCTAGGTTCCTAAGACAAGAAGAAAAGAGTGTGTGCTGTCATTTGTAGCCACCTTCGCTGAACAAAATATTTTAGAGTAATGAATGTAACATCCGTTATCGTTGTTTTACTTTCAGTTGTACTTGTAGTAACTTCACCTGGTATATAAAAAAGTCGCCCCAGTTTTTAAATGTCCGTACTTATGCCCCCGCGCTCTCAAAGGATGAAGATAAAAACTGCAGATCTTCTTGGAGTCCATTTTGTAACCGTTACCAGTAACGGAAGTTACACCTGTAGCGGAAAATACGTAACAAGAGATCGGATTTCCCTTCCCTTTGCACCATAAACATAATACTAGTAGTTTGAAATAGTGTAGAAAAAATATGGTAGGTTTCCCTGAGAAAACAGTTCATAAATTTTTCGACCCTAAAAATCACATTTCAATGAGAACGAGCCATTAAGTCTTCTACAAGTCGCTGCCTAGAAGGGTAAAAAGACAGAGGGCTTCTTGCATGCCATTGACTGTTTCTAACACGCACGACCTCCTGGTCAAGTTTTATTTCTAAATATTCAAATAATATTGTCGGGACCGTTTACACCAAAACAGAAAGGACATGTTGCGAAGTCGCCGCTAAAAAGTGTATATGCGTAGCCTCTGGCAAGGAGGGGCTTGCAAACCGAGGTACAATGTACTAGTATATTTTAAAAGAATTTACAATTACACTTATATCTTGCACAGACCCCAAGCATACATCGCTCCGGACCAAGGAGTATATGATTGAGAAGGACATCAGATGGTGGCCTACGCCTCCAGAATCGCCAGACCTCAACCCTATCGAGATGATCTGGGCTAACATGAAGCATCATCTCAGGAAGCACGTGAAACCGCGCAACAAAGACGAGCTCATAGCCGGCATAGGAGGCTACTGGGAGGGGGTGACCCCTGAGATGTGCCGCAAGTACATAAATCACATCCACAAAGTTCTCCCTGTGGTTGTGGAAAGAGAGGGCAAAGCGTCCGGACACTAGATTGACGACTGGTTATCTCATCTAACTACACGAGTTTTTTTCGAAGTTTGCTTATTATTATGCGCATGGAACTTCCTTTTGTACCTCATTGGTAAAAAAATCCGGTTTGGAATCGATATTTGCTGCATACCTGTAACAGCTTTTTGTTATATTTTTCACGTGGAACTAAGCTAGGGACAGACAGTGCCAGACAGAAATGTGTATTGTAATATCGACCATATTAAGATACTAGTGCTAGTATTTCATAGCCTAGAATACTATCCAAGCAGAGGTTTGGGTTTGGGGGTATTTTTGGCGTGTTTTAGTCTTTTTTATCGGGGTTTCTTTTTTGTACTGGATTTTTTTTCTCGCCCAAATGGGTTGGGTGAAAACCCAAACCTTTGCTTGGAGAGTAACGATGTGTAACGCTCGAAGGCAGAGTGGAGGAACGGATCGGAGACAAAGCGTTTGTTTACGGATGGCTTCCAGGCTAGATATTTGAGAATTGAAGTCTGTCTTCGCTTGATGAGAAAAGAAGATCTTTTTCTTCAACTTCGGCAAAAATATCCTCGTCTGAACTAGTAAGAGAATGTACGAAATCGCACAAATTCTTATGAACACAGATGTCTGTTGTTGTTACCACCATGGAGTTTTACCTATGGAGTCTCTTTTTCTACCTCCATGTTACCACTAACGTGCACCACACTAAGAAAACCCGTAATTTATGCATTATTGTCATGTACTGTGAAACACGCGGATGCATTGTCAAACAAAAATACTTTTTGTAACCATGATGCAAATGTGGCATCCCCTTTCTTCTATTTTGTGACTGAGCCATGAATATGATCTTGTTCTCGCGTCTAAAAAGAAATCAGGTCAGAAACGACGACGGTTCGAAAGCTTTTTCTCGGCGTTCTGTGGCAGCGCGCAGCGGCTGTGCAAGTTGTATAATTTGAGTCTGCCGGGTTACGTTGCCCAAGGACATTATACACTGTGTATAATGTCCTTGCGTTGCCCTATTCATTACTTTGTTATCACGAATAAAAATGACAACAATAAAATCCAACAATGTCCTGGGTAAAACATATGGGGTTGCAAGAAACAAGTTGTTTACATTAACGTTTATGTAGGGGTTTGGTTGCCAAACACTAGTAACACTACCATGACTACTAATAATTGCTTTAGGCGGTTCATACAAATATATTGTTGTAACAAATACACGTGAACAAATAACATATCATGACTAGTACTAGGACAGCATCGAAAATACTAGTAAGTTACTAGTACTAGTAAATTAGCATTTATGTAACCATGGAGTTAAATTGAACCTCCTTGATGTGAAAAAGATCGAAATCCTATTTGATTATAACGCCGGATCAGCGGTCATAATACTGATGTTGCGTTTTGACTTTTAGGATTAGCACAATTTTCGTGCTTCAGAAACATTACAAAATGTTACAAACTGATCCGTTCTGTTCTCGGGTTGAATGTAGCCTCCTTTGCAGTCTTGTTTGGCGTGTGCGTTATTTTTTTCTGTGAGCGACGCGAGTAATATGCCGCCGCGAGGGACGATTTGCTGCCGCAGCAGATTTGCAGCAGCAAATCGTCCCTTGTAACGCTCGAAAAAATAACGCCCACGCCCAACAAGACTGCGAAGGAGGCTAGGTTGAATGATTGTGTCAAGAAAGTAAGAGAGCGCTCCTTGAAGTATTCATACAGATCATAGCTTATAAATACGGTATCTCACATTTTTCTAATGTAGCGGGCCGGTCGCATGCGTGAATTCAGTGTCAAGCTAGTATTATCGAGTGAAATCTGTTCACCCTGTAAAACTTCTAGAATGGTGCTGCACTGCAATTCTAGAACTATTGTGTATTCGCTTGAAAGTTTTACTCGCGGCACACACAGTACACAGTCCAGAACGTGTCGAATATCCACGGCGAATATCCACAATATGACATAGTCTCAGCCTCACGTTTCCATAGTACATTAAATATTCGTTAATTTTATGCAGAAATATCAGTGTCTTGTAGATTTTTCTCGGTTCTGAAATGTCACGAATCATCTGTCTTGCGATCCTGTCGTCTGCAACAAGCGCCTGAAAACACCGCTGTATACACTCGACAACTTTCGGGATTCTTCGTAGAACCTCGATTATAGTCGGTGAAGATCGACTTTACAGCGAAGATGGACGAAACATTTTCTCAGTGCTCATTGGCTGCTCAGATAATTGAATTATTCGGCCCGTAGGCCAAACAGACTCTGGGGCGCCGACGGCAACTTTTTTAAAGGGAACCGCCTGTCAATCAAGTACAGTACGTGCAGCCGTGGGAATAGTGAACGCCTACACTGAAAATACTTGACCAAAGCATGGACGTAAAAATCACAGGCGTATCACGTAATCTACAAGCTCTGTTTTATTCAGGAACAAACATCAAACCCCGCTATTTTTTTTATTTTGTCACAGCGCTCATGATCAAATCATAGCTTCAGTATAGCAGTTGCAGAAAATTCTTTACGCCGCCGACTTCGACTCGCTAGGCACGGTCATTGACTTTTCTTTGTGGCGTACGTTTTTCTGGCAAAATGTCTGCCAGTTTTTCTGCCGGCTTTTCTTTTGTAACCTTGCAGCAATCATACTCCAAGTTCCGACACCACGCAACTATCATTTCTTCCAACTAGTCCAGAGTTGTTTGCCCTCCAATCTGAATAAACTCGGCTCCACGGCCGAGACAGCGTGTAGCCGCTGCGCTAATAATAATCCCATGTATTATCCACAAATTGTCAACAGATACATGAAAAATAAGATAAAACAAGTATCATGGTAATTTTAGAATACAAATGCTGATAGGGAATTATTGCTATAAAAGCGAAACCACGCCCTATAAGCTCATTTACTTTACGTACTCTGTCTGTGTTCAGTATCTCGCCGTAAATACGCCGTGCGCACGGAGTGTACACGCCGTGTGGGCGAAGGACTCATTGCTTCTTCGAATGATTTGTTGATGTTTGGGAGGCCGATATGCATTTTTTTAGATATTGAGACTTTGAAAATGTGAATGGCATAAATTGTAAGCGTGGTAAGACACATACAGTGTACAGGTATTACCAGAACTTCAGAACTACAAATGCAACTACCAAAGCGGTTTCTGCTTTTTCTTCCCTCCGCAGGCGTGGTACAGTAAATGTGTATTATCAAAGGCGCGGAAGACGTTCATGAGAACGTGCGCCCGGTGGGAGGGACTTCGCAAACCAGCGCTGGCTCAAAGATATGGTCGATGAAAGGAAGCAGAATCGCACTTCCTGCTCAAAATAATCATGTAGACTGTGTTACAGGGCAATCTAGTTGTTTTGGATTGTACTTGTATTTTGTTGTTAGCTTCATGTGAAACGATTCTACATGGTATTTACGTCATCTCTGCAAAAATAAAACACTGCGCATGCGGCGCAGTTGCCTTGGCGCGGCGATGCGTTGTTGTTTTTTTTTGCCGTAAATCGGGCTGTTTCATGAATATTCTCATGAATATTCTCATGAATATTCCGTGTACACGGTGCCTGAAACATGAATATTCTGAATATTGCCCGCCCTACTGGCCCCCAAAATCCCGCCCACCCCAAACGTAAACACGCCGAATACACGATCGTGCATTCGCCGTGTTCGTGTACACGCTACCGAAAAGTTGGTTAAATTTTACGGTCCTGGTAGTGTATGTGCTTATCATATAAAATCTACATTCAATTTTTACATTAAAATCTACATTAACTATTATTTACACCATATTATATAGTGTACCCAAGCCTACAGTTATCTTCCACAATACATCAATTTTCCATCCAAATCCCCTAACATTTGCTTTTTATTTCATGACAGTTCATATTAACCACCATTCTGAATAAAAGTTCATTTCCTGAATACACTTCTTTAAAAACAATTAGAAAAAAGTTTTTTTGAAGTACAAAAGTAATCAAAAAGTATATCTATAGCAATAAATGGCAAGAGTAAACAGTAAATTCAAGATGTTTGATTCACTGTAAAAAAAAAATTACTTATTAATTTGGTATTGACTGTGAGGCAGACAAGATATAAACTATACCAACAATCAGACAATCATACAAAATTTGTGTGTACTTCATAGTGTCATACCTCACTGTATAAAAATTTCAGTACTGTGTACTACAAAAAAGTTCATTTCATACTAAATTTTGACTAATTGTTTTGCTCCCAAATTCATATACGAAATCCAAGTCATCAACCCTCCATGTGTTGTGTAAGAATCTAAGGTGAGGTAAGGTTTGCATGTGGAATTTGGAAGCCCTGTGGTATTTGAGGAGTAAACTGCACATTTATCTATTTATAATCTATTCCTTAAGATTTGCTCCATTTGTGGAGGGATCTTTGGTCTGACAGTTTTCCAGTCCACATCTGCTTGGAGTTGATGTGAGTTACTAGTAAGATGTTTTCAGTCACCACCATTGCTGCTCAACAGTCACTGATAAGGAAAGATTTGGCATCAATAGTTCGATGTTCCACATAGTAGTGTTCTCCCAACTGAAGTCTAGCTGTCCTCCACGTCTCAAAACATGTTTCATGTCTCAAAATGTGCCTTAAGTCTTCTGCACATCTTTATAACATGTCTGAAGTGTCTCTAGTTGTTCTGCACAGCCCCAAACATGTCTTGATTGTCCTGCGCGTCTCAGAAATGTCTGAGGTGTATCTAGTCGTCCTGTACATCTCAGAATATGTCTTGATTCTTCTATCCATCTCCAAACATGTCTCAAGTGCCTCTAGTTGTCCTGCACATCCCCAAATGTGTCTTGATTGTCCTGTGCATTTCAGAACATGTCTTAATCATCTTGCATGTCTCAGAATGTGTCTCTGGGGTTTTTAGTTGTCTTGCACCTCTCCAAACATGTCTTAAGTGTATTTAGTTGTCTTGCACATCCCCAAATGTGGCTAATGTCTCAGAACATGTCTTAATCATCCTGCACGTCTCAGAACATGTCTCAAGAGTCCTGCATGTCTCAGAATGTGTCTCAGGGGTTTCTAGTTGTCTTGCACTTCCCAAAATGTGGCTTATGTTTCAGAACATATCTTCACTATCCTGCACAGAAGTCGTCCAGCATGTCTTAAGTGTCTCTATTTGTCCTGTATGTCTGCAAACATGTCTTAATTGTCCTGGAAGTCTCTGAGCATGTCTTAAGAAGTTAACTGTCCTGCACGTCTCCGAAGGCGACACAGAAGTCGTCCAGCTCCCTCTGCAGCTGCAGGTTCCTCTCCTCTGCCGACAGTCGCGCCTGCTCCTCGTTACGTAACTTGATCTCGGCGGCCTGTATATGAAGCGACAGGGCAAAAAAATAATAAAACAGGGTAGCATTCCATGATAGCCACAAATGCAACCATAGAAGCCATTAAGTCAACACAAAAGGCTGGGTTAATACTAGTATAATAATACAATGAATTTTGAACTTTTAATCAAACCACTGCATTGATAGATGGAAAAACTGTGAAAACGTAGGAAGAAAATGACTTTCCTCAACTGTTGGGGGCAAAGCATGAGCAGCTTTTAGTGGATTCAAATTTTTTTTGTAAATAAGAAAAAAATGAAGAGGCAAATCCAAGAACCAACAAATTAAATTGGTGAGGCCTAATGATAAATAAACTAATTGAAAGCCAACCTGTCGCAGCATCTTCTCGCGTTTCAGCTCCTGTTCCGCCCTCTGCAGCTGCTGTTCCAACATGGCGCCGCGCTGCTCCAGGTTCTGCACACGACCTTCGTACTCCGACCTCTGGAACGTCAACTCTGACTTCAGACCCTTGACCTGGTGTAAGGGTGCAAAAAATGACACTTTTATGTACATCATACAGAAGAACATCCTAATTGCTATACAAGTTTTGTTGCCAGTATGTTAATCATTTCTGATCATCCTAATCCAATGCTTTGATCACTTGGTGCATATAGGTTTGAAATGTAGAACCCTTTGCCTATCCATTGTCTAACATGCAGGTGTCTGTCTGGGGTCTTGTCTGTGATTTCATAATAAAAGCTGAGTGTTCAGTAGAATTTTGAGATTAGTCTGAGAGAGTGAGTCTGACAAAAAGTCACAATGAAAGAGTAGGGAAAGAATGCCCCAGCCCCACGACTCCCATGCGTGTGTAAACCAACCATTCCTGTGTCCTGTAGTTAATTCGCCATGAAGGGCAGAGGCAAATGGCAAGCTACCATCAGTGTGGAAGAACATCTAACCCTCGGTTACAGGGAATGACTGACGATAAACTGAATAAGAGAGAGAGAGC